ACACTCATCTATCTTACTCCTCTCTCTCGCACTACATGTTTCGGCACAAAAGTGCCACCTTCAGGTGAAGGTGTATGCACTGGAAGACGGTTGAAATAAATCATAAATTGAACAGATTAAACACACGAATTGCTAAGCTGAATTATATCAAATTTATTATAGAATATAAGTTTTTGGGTTTTCACTCAGCGATTGTTAGTTGTATTCATCTCGCTTATGACATCATGTAGTTTTGTAGGCGGATTGGACGTTTCTGAGAATATGCTGCCACAAAATTAAATTTCTTCTCACTGTTCCCTTTCCCACATGTGCCCGTAAACTTGTGTGTCCCTAAACTGGCCATTTACCCACCGTTTCTTCCATTGGACATATCAGGTTGTTTTTGTCAACACTTCACCGTAGGACACGTGACCATCTTCCTCGTAACCTGCCTACGTAATTCATGAACATACACACTTCAACCCTAAAAATGAAGGCAACAGATTCCTTCGTAAAGTCAGTATCCATCCACAGATATACACAGTATCATCCCAGAAGACCAAATGTTTAATAAAAAGGATCTTGGCATAGCCCCTTTTCCTCATCTGTGAACTAAATGGCGGCGTCTGAATAGGCTTCTGGGGCTCACCCAGCATCCTATCTGATTCTTAGTACATACTCGTTTCTCCGGGGAAGTTGTGGCTGGAGCGTAGCCACTCACCTTCATCTCCTGGAAAGATTAAGACGTGTGGAGCAACACCGCTACTCCCCCATATGCCTTCCTGACGTGGTGCCTAATTAGGCACAGGGACAACTTGCCTTAACCTGATAAAAATGCTGAAAGCCGCGAATTACCAGTAGGCGCTGGTACTTAGTCCATACGTACACATATCCTCCTTAGGTCCCCTAAAGTCTCGAGAATTGTCCTGAATAATTTTTGTTGCCAGCCGCTCATGTAAAGACAATATTTTGTTTACCTTTTAATGATAAAAATTATACATTTTGATTTGGGAGTAAAAATTATCAGTGTGATGAACCAAAAACAGATTGTAAATTAAACACAGTGAAGAGTACTATCTTTTTGGATATAACGTCATGTAGTCGGTTGAAAGTTAGCCGACGTTTCGGCGGAACATATCGACTCCCTCTTCCAGGTCGAATAAGCCACGCAAGATACCAGCATGAAAGCAGACTCTGCTTTCCAGCTGCAGAGTGGCATAATCTACTTTCACGTTGGTATCTTACACAGCTACTTAGAACCTGAAGATGGATGTGATGTTTCTTTGAAACCTCGGTTGATTTTCAACGGAGTACACTACGTTATATCACAGAAGATGGTATATCTCATACCCCCCGCTCTGAGAACCTCATATCCTACATACATAATGAAGCTTACCGGTTACAGGCTTGAAAATGTACCAGAATACACGGCTTCCCATCCTAGACGATTAATTCAGCTTTCATACAGACTGACGGGCATTCACAAGCGATTAAGAACTCTAAGGTCGAGGGCACACCGAGGCAACTGGCAACCACAGCACTGGAATAAGTTCCAATCACGTACTAAGTTTATGCAATTTGTGTGAATGTTAAACGCTATTTGTAAAATTGATACATTTTAATGTCACAGACCACGTTTCACACCCATATAGAGCTACATACAAGTTGTAGTTTTGCATATTTTTATTTTTGTTTTTAGATAGCAGACAAGAAGATAAAAGGTTCTGGACTGAATGGTAGCAATCATTACACGAATTCAATTGCCTCTTAATTTCCTCCTGAATCAAATTTTGATTTGTTACTGTGATTTGCAAAATATGTTAGCTATCTACAGTCATGATTTTACCCTGCATTCTGATGATAAGACAGCAGAATATACTTGGTTCTCTCTGTGTTTACTCCTAGATCAACCTCCTTACTAACATCAACTAAAGTTTGTGTGTTTTTCTTTATAGTACGATGGGGTACCCAAAAGAAACCGAACTATTTTTTTTTGTGGGCAGAGCTTTTGTAGTACCGCGTTTTGCCGCAATGAGCACATAGAGCTAACATTCCTGAGTCGATATACCGACTACCGTTGCTTCAGATGGTAAGGGCTAGTTTCGGCAGAGTTTATAGTGACAACTGTTTTGTGGTATCGTCGTTTTTGCAATGGCTGATTTTCATGAACAGCGTGCGGCGGTGAAATTCTGCTTTTTGCTCGGGAAAAGTGGAACAGAAACTCTTGAAATGTTAAAAACGGCGTACAAGGACGATGCTATGGGGAAATCTCAAGTGTTTGAGTGGTTTTCCTGTTTCAAAAATGGTGAAATGTCAATTGATGACGAACCTCGTTCTGATCGTCCTTCCACGGCCCGAACACATGAAAATGTTGAAAAAATTCGTGAAATCATCAAGGAAGATCGACGACGGACCATTGAAGAAATTGTGGAGCTGTCAGGAGTGACTTGGAGTTCAGTTCAGCGAATTTTGACAGAAGATTTGGGAATGAAAAGGGTGGCTGCGAAATTCATGCCATGACTGCTAACTGCTGAACAAAAAAAGGTCGCGTGGAAGCATGCTGTGCTTTGAAAGAAGAGTCCCGAAGACATGAGACATGAAAGGAAAACGTTTTGCTGATGTTGCTAAGGTGAAGGAAAAAACGACGGAGGCGCTGTCAAGCATCTTAAAAGATGAATTTAGACAAAGTTTTGAAAAATGAAATAAAAGTCTAGGCAAGTATATTGGTGTAAGTGGAAAGTACTTTGAAGGGGACTGAAGGTTTGTGCTTAAAATTTGAATAAATAAGTTTGAAAAATAAGTTCGGTTTCTTTTGGGTACCCCCTCGTATATTATCACTCAGTAGAATCACATTAGCAGCATAGACTAACAACTGATGTGTCCCATTTAATTTCAGTCCCACCTGGTTTTCCTGGACTCATATAATGGCATATTCTAAAGCAAAGTTCAATAGCAGTGGTGATAAGGCATTTCCTTCTTTGAGACCATTCTGGATAAGAAAATTATAAAATATTTACCTATACGGCCTTAGTATAAGTTTTGTTTAAACACATTTTAATCAGCTTAACTGGTTTCATGTGTTCCTCAAACTCTCATTAGAATGTTGTACAACACTTCCGTCCTAATTCAATTGTAAGCTTTCTTGAAGTCTACAAATAGCTGATATACTGTCTCACTGTACTCACATTTTTTCTCCAGTATCTGACCTAAGCAAAAGATATGATCAGTTGTTGATCTGTTACATCCAAACCCACACTGATGCTCCCCAGTAATTTCATCTACATATAAACTTAATCTTGAGGGAAGGATATGGCATAAAATTTTGTATGGGTAGTCAGTTTTATCACCCTCTTTTTTGTGATTTGGTACAATAATAGACTCACAGGACAGTGACAGGAATTCTAAATAAGAGGATTTTAAATCTCAAGGGAAAAACACCTGCAGGAAATGACCATAAGCAAGTTTTTCACTAAAAAGAGACTGAACCTCATATTCTGTATTCATGCAACATTTGGAAGTGGTTAGTCGCTGGCTTCCCACTGCAGTAGCCCAGGTTGGATCCCGGGTCTCGTCAAGTGAGATTTGTGGTGGACAAATTGGCGCTGAGGCAGGTTTTCTCTGAGTACTTCGGCTTCCCCTGCCAATCTTCATTCCACCAATTGCTCCACAATCACCCTCACCTATCATCTGCGGCTGGTACAATACAAGGGACTTAGGCCCACCTCACTAGCAAAAAAAGAAAATATCAAATACATCTGGTAACCTGTCACATCCATCCCCACCCTCACCACAAACACTTGTACATTCAACCTGGAACGTTAGCATTACTTACGCTGGAAGAAACACACTAATCCAGACCTTCTTAGGAAAATTGATGGCTCATGTATGACGTGCAATTATCTTCACAAATATCATGTCACTGGAAATCATTAACATCTCATTAATGGAATGCACATAATTTCAACAGAATTTGCTTCCCTGTTTTTACACCTAATATACTCCTTTTATGCCGCAAAGGAAGGGTAACTGGACCAGTGACCAGTTGAATGACCATCACAGTCCCCTGAATTTACCTGTGTGACCATTGTTTCAGATCTATGAAACACTGTGTACAATATATTGTAAAAAATGATTCTGAAGTAAGATATATGTGAATTACACACATACACACAACTAAGAAATGTGTCAAAAGATGTTTTCTGCCTTCAGTACCACCTTTACACATGCATTATATACAAACTAGCACTAATTCCATTTGAGACAATTTATATCAAATGTTCCCTGAGTACAATATCTACAGCACATCTTATTTTGATCTTACATTATAAGGAATAAATAGGTAGAATAGTAGGTAGGAGAACAGTTAAACAACACCAAAGTGAAAGTGGCGGTGAGATACAAGATCCTCAGCTTTTACACATGCAGTGTGTGTTCATTCATGACACACACATGCACACAAATTGAAAAAGAGGTATTATAATCTCTTGACCACCTACAACAGACATCTGTATTGCTTTAGGCTGTTACAAAATCAGAAAATATATGCCTGAAAAGGTCTGACCATAAGCACACAGGAAGAAATACTCGGAATGGAATGGTAAAATAATTCAGTCAGAATATGGAAGATTTGAAGCTTCCATGGCTTAACAATATGTTAAAATCCTATTGGGCAATCAGTCATCTCAGTCTTGAGTTAAAAACGAACATTTCAGTGATCTCCACCTTGAGGGTTGATGTGGTGAATTACTATGAATCGCTGATAAATATATGTCAATGTTTGGAATTGCTGACTCATTCTCTTGGCATATGAAGCAGCAGGAGGTTGGAGTCAAATTGTGTAGTCACCCATCTGACACTAACCTATCACCATGTCATTTAAACTGGTGCCCCTGTTGTCAATTACTGTGCCTTCTTTTCATCTTCCCTGAATTTGCCTGCTTGGGATTTTCTTGGCCTATGCATGCCAGAATGCCCTACTGACATGGTGATGGGATTCCATTCTTTGCTAAGTCTGAACCCTTGGTCGTTAAAGAAGTTACAACACAATCTGAGGTAAATATTTTATTATTTAAATCTCAGAACATATACAAGACATACTAGGAACATGTTTCAAGAATAAACAAATAAACTAAATTTACATAAATATAGAATCTTTTTTTTGACACAATCTGAGGTAAATTTATTTAAATGCAGAATCTTCCTTCCGAATGAGTCAGGTACTCAACCTGCATTGCCATGGCACAGAGGGCATGTGGTGCCATACTGCAAACAAAAGAAGAAACAGGTAAATGACATTTTTATTCTAACAAAGGTATACTTCGGAGCCAACAATATGGCAGTTAATCATTCCAAGACCGAGAATTTATTCTGAATGATATACAAATTAAGCCCGTGCCTCAAAGGAAACGGATTACCTATCCGCTACAGAGACCAACAGTTTAATGCTGTTTACTGTGAGAACCATACGGAACACGCAGATAGACTGTGTGGGCAGAATGCAGAGATTTAGAACCTTAAAGCTTGTGGTACGTATATATATTATGTACAGGGGTTTAAAGGATTAAACACTTTCCCTCATCTGTTGCTGAATGTGTGCAAATTTTCACTCCCTTATATGTATTCATGGAGCATGCGCAAGGACGCATCTGACTTTATATAGTGATTGATATCTTCAGGAAAATTATGATGTTACAAAATGTTTTAGACACAAGACCTTTGTTTTATGTCTCAGCATCAGTGAGTCAGATATCTGTGTCACTTGTGTTCACACGGGGTTTGAAGACAAAAATATTTTTGTGAAAAAAAAAGTGTAAGAAATTTGTGCATGTAGGAAGCAAGTCGTACTATATGTGGAAGGTGAAGTTAACAAATCTGTATAGATCTGGTGGCACATGGATAAGACATTGGCGTAGTATTTGGAAGGTACCGGTTCGAGACCACGGTGTCTTTTGTCAATAGAAATTGAAAAAGGAATAAATAAATACGATTTTTCTGCAGCTATAAACCAATATGTAGAATATGAGGAGGATCGCAGAAGACTTCAGAATAGATGTTGTGGTGGCCTAGAGGTAAGGCAGCGGCGTTGTAAGTGAAAGGTACGTGGTTCGAAAACAGAAGAATTTTTGTAATGATATTTTTCTGGAATTATATAGCGAGATGTAACATTTTTTTTTTTTAATTAACTGCGTATTTACAATCTGCTCTCTTATTTGTGGAGCATTAAGTAAATCTGTGGGCGAATGGCATGAGTGGAGCATTCATCCTCTGATGAATCCCCTATCAGTCTTGTTGATGGTTAATATTGTTTTCCGTATCTTCAGAGGTTTCGGGGAGGTCAGTAGGCCATTGCCGTTTTAGTCTCCGTGGCACCTTTGGCGGAGTATTCAGGGCCGCTATGAGTTTGTTGCTATGTCCATCTAGCCGTGCGCTGTATAGTCTCGACAGTCTACAAATCTCGTCACTGACGAAAGGAGTTTGGAGGTCGTTGTGAAGAGATAGGTTGGACACATACCAGGGTGCATCTGCGACTGCTCGTAGGATTTTTGACTGTATTCTCTGTATGATTTTTGTATGTGACGGTTTAGCACAACCCCACAGTTGGATCCTGTAGGTCCATATTGGTTTAATGATGCATTTGTATAGGAGTAGTTTATTGTTCATGGATAGTTTAGATTTTTGTCCCAGGAGCCAAGACATTTCCTTTAGTTTTAGGTTTATCTGCTGTCGTTTGGTTTTGAT